TGTGTGTGTGTGTGTGTGTGTGTGTGTGTGTGTGTGTGTGTGTGTCTGCGTTCTTGCCTACAACACCCAAGAAAGAGGGAGTGCACAACAACTTGTTGATCCCACGGGTTACCGGAAGTTGGGTCAAGGAATTAAGATGAGTCCCTCGCAACACCATATCGACCAACTGGCCTAGCGCAGTTAGTACACCCATGATTGTTGAAATACAGACGTGAGTTCGAATTTCAAAGGAATCAGATGAGTGAAAAAAAAAAAGAGACATGGAAACTTTGCGACTGTGATGTTAACGGCGAAGTAATGAGATCATTATGATAAAAACGTCGAGAGATGGAATGAGAACAGCTATACTTTTGGGGATGAAAATGGCAGGAGAGGGGACGAAAATGATATGGGAAAGGAAGCAACATGATATTGTAACTGGACAAGTTCTTTGACTTAGCAAAGCACAGTTATGATAGACCAGCAAAATAAAAAAAAATGCCAAGTGGGGAAGCAACTGCAACTACCTCAGTGATACCTCTGTTGGAGTTTACCTAGGGATTCAGCAGATCGGCAATTACTTCCTCCCGAGCGTAGCATACAACTTTCCAGTGTAGTGCGCTCTCCGTAGGGAACTCAAGATTTGAACTTCCTAACCTAATAGGATTTCTTGATAAGGCTGTTACACCAGTGGTCCATCTGAAGCCAAATTGATGAACCAAAAAGTGGCAAAAACCTGAGTGAGGACGCTGCGCGGCCAGTTGGGCCTGGGGGGGCCGCCCGGGTCAACTGGGCGGGCCAAAAAACCGCCCAGAAATATATATATTTTTTGAAATCGGGGTCGTTCAGCGCTCGGCGAGAGGACCCCGAATCTGCAATAAAATTTTGGTTTTGCGGAGGGGGTGGGGGGGTTGGTCTGGGTGGGGGGTGCTGGGGTTGGGGGGGTGTCTGTGATGTGGCGCAGATGCGCTTTTTTCTTTTTTTTCTTTTTCTGTAAGGGGTGTGTGTGTATACAAGGGGGGGCAAGAGAGAGAGAGAGAGAGAGAGAGAGAGAGAGAGAGAGAGAGAGAGAGAGAGAGAGAGAGAGAGAGAGAGAGAACGGATCTCCTTAACACGGCTCAGACGGCCCATGCAGGCTATCTGAAGCGTCCTCGCAGCCATGTAGTGCAGACCCCGCCCCCAAAATCGAGGCAGGCGGTGAATATGAAGTAGAGCACGAGCTGGCCGAATATATACTCAAGATTCGAATTCAGGTCTGTGTTTCAGCACTTATGGGTTGCTCACGTAGCTAGGCCCTGTTGGTCTCTGCACGTGACTCTTAGGGCTTGGCTGCACTACTCACGAAATGTGCAAAATTAGAATGAATCTTCTGCAGAACATGGAATAATACGCCACCATATGTTTTGTCTTTTGTGCATTTGGTGAGTAGAGGCCCTTAGGGCCACTGCACATATTTTTAAGAAAAGAAAAACGAGAAAAGAAAAGAAAAGCTAGAAAACAGAGAAATAGTGACCGATAACCGAGATGCACAGACCTGAATTAGAATCCAGACTATATATTCTCTGCCCACCCTCACGGATTACAAGTTTGAAGTGTATCTCTGCATGACGTCGGGTCCTAGCTAATATGCCGTAGGATCGTTCCAAAAAGAGGCTGGACACAACTAGGACGTTTTTATTTTTCTACTTTTTTAACGCGCCGCATCACTTGTGCGTGCGTGCATGCGCGTGCGGCACCCCGCGCATGAGATGCGCCGCAAGTATGAATCGAACACCTCTCTCTCTCTCTCTCACTCTCTCTCTCTCTCTCTCTCTCACACACACACACACACACACACACACACACAAAGGGGGTCCGAAATCCCCCGACAGGTGAGTGCGCTGGGGGGGCCCGGCCCCCAACCGGGTGCCCTGCCCGGCCAGGCTGCCCGGGACCTCCCCTGGGCCCCTGCCGGTCACCCAGGCGGCCTGGATCCCCACTCAGGCAAAAACTGCTTTCCACGAAGCCTTAAAGCACCAGTACACCACACATTGGTCCGCGGTTGTCAGCACAAAAACCGCACCACTTCGGAGGCCGCCGATTTTTTTTTCAACGGCGGGCCTGGCCGCGCAGCGCCTCCGACTTTTGCTTGTGGAGACAAAAACTTTCTGCAAGGCTGGGGCTGTGTACTTGCGGTTTAATGTAACAGGTAGCAGCGTTTGGAAGCATGAAGGCGGTAGCAGTACCGGCCTCTGTGTGACTGACATTGCTGGACCTACTGCCAGCAGCAGGATCAGAAAAATGGTCAGGAATTGCAAGTTTATGATATTGTTTTGTAATATGATTTTCTTTCTTGCAGTTGTTTATGTTCTTTTCGTGGTTGCACTTCGATGCGACCAAGTTTGTAAGGACTGGCCCGTGTGTGAGAGTGTGCAGCTGATGCAGTGTCAGCAACACTGTTGCTCTTTGGAGGAGACACCTGCACGGCCACGTGGAGATTGTGGGCCCTCACAAAACGAGGAAAAATTGCGTGCATCTTCCCTCAGAAGCTGGCAAGATACATCCACGGACGAATCTTTCCACCTCTTTTGGGAAGATGCACTCCCATTTTTCTCGAATTGTGAGTGGTGTGGAGAGGCCGTGCATCCGCCAAAGCTTCCCCCCCACCTTCCCCTCCCATGCCCATCCAACCTCC